ATCTGCTTTAGTGTCTGATCTTTTTATCAGTGTTCTCCTGAACTGCTGAGCTGTATTGAGGCGTCGATCATTACATTTGAACAGCTGTAATTATTTGAATCCATTTTGGAATGGCGCAGGAACTTTTATTTGTCTCGGCTATGACGGAGCTGCTGTTTATTCTGCTTCTTGTTTACTGTCATTTTGAGAGATTGGACATGTCTGATTCTTTCAGCGCATCCAGAGCAGCCCTGCAAAGAACCGTTGCTCTGTGTGATATATGCGCTGCCTTATAGATAGTGCTCAGGGTGGGATCATTTTCATCTTCTGTTGAACCTTTATAATGGTATCCATGGCAACTGCAATCCCAAGTCATTTGCTATCTCTCTCTTGCTCTCTCTCTCTCTCTCTCTCTCTCTCTCTCGCTCCCTCTCGCTCACTCTCTCTCTCTCCGTGTTTGTGGTGTGGTAAATGCGATTCATATAGAATACTGGGTCATTTATTCATGTCATAAATCTTGTCTACTTGTCTATTGTTAACTAACTATTATTACTTGTCTATTGTTAACTAACTATTATTCGCTCAGCTCCATCATGAGATTAAAGACCACACTAGCCACTGCTTGGTGTTCATGCGCTTGCTGCTAGTTTTATAAAGATATTTCTGGGTCATTCTGAACATCCGAGACATGTTCTATTTATAGTGTCTTGGATTTTGTGTTGATTTGGAAGTATACGGTACTTGACCCATGATAATGCTGGAAGCTCTCTCTCTGGTCATGTCTGAACCTCCTGGCACAGGCAACCAGGCTTTAATAAGTACCACGAAATAGCCTGGTGCTTACAGGTGTTCATGATCCCATGGTTTTCACAGTGGGGTATCAGGTGCTTACACAGTCCATGCTGATAGAGTTCATGAAAAAAAATCAAAAAGTTTGATTTTGGTCTTATTTCACCTCAAACATGATACCAGTAGATACACAGTTGGAGAAGTTCAGGTGTTGTGTTTTTTTGCGAAATGCTCTCAATCCCTTTAAAAGCCAAATATGAAGAAACTCCTCAGCTATACACACACATCTTCTGAAGCATTATGCTGATAACATTTTATTTTATTTTTTTTTTTTACCAGAATTGCTTTGGTATACTTCTCAGGTAGTTTTTTTTTTCATATAGAGTGAACAGTTTTAGAAGTTTTCCCCTTTGAGTAAAGAAATACTTACAGCCTACAGTCACGTGCTGTATGGTTTGATCTGTCTTTAGGTCTTAAGTAAGGAATAACACACATCGGGCTGTGCTGTTACGGGAAAATAATCCACAATCCATGGCCAAACATAAAGTGGACTGTTTTCCTTTAGCAGCATGTTGCAAAAGGATTTCCTCCTCTTATACCACAGCAATATAACAACAATTATAATTTTACATTTATTAATTAAATCAGCATTTTTTATCTGTTTATAGATACATTTAATGTGTGTTGATGTGGTGAAACAAGTTATTTCCTGTCCTCACTTATGCTATAGCAGCTATAAACAGTTCCCTCACCAGTCTCTCTTTTCCTCTCTTGAATGGATAGTGTAAAAAAAAAAAAAAAAGCTCTGTCCGGTGGTGAAAAACACTGGAGACTCATTCCATAAAGGTTAAATAAACGTCTCCTAGCCGAAATCTTTAATATGTCAACTATTAGACGGTTTTCGTCATTCATTTCCTAATCCATTTATTATATTAGACTCAGATCACGTGAAACGTTCGCCGTGCCAGTCCCTGTGAACGAGCTGTTACTATGGAAACGATAACGTATTAGAATGAGCGCAGTTTTTTTTTTTTTTTTCGGTCGAAACGTCCTGGTGCTTAGCAGAATTCACGATCCTCAGAAGAGTGAAATATAGTGTTATCCGAGCACAAAAACACAACGCCAGTTGTTGCTAAAGCACTTGTTCGTGCACTGTAATTTGCGACATCTCGGTGTTTAACAGTTAAAAACGTTTACAGGTGCGAGATCTGAGACTCTGCTTGCGTGACTCGTCTTCCAGGGGATGAAAACGTATCCTCTGTCACGCTTGTTGTAGTGCAGCAGGTGAACAGATCAGCTCGTGTAGAGGTCAGTGTTAGTGAAGGTGACGGCCTCTGTGGTCTCTGAAGGCTCGTTTTGTATCGATCTGTTCATTCCTCACTCGTTCCTGTGCTATGAATAGCATCCCACCTGGCAGGAATGTCACTCTGGCTGAGCGTGTGGTTCTGACAGATGCCTTCTCTGCGTGCATGCTATACAGCTCGTATTATTTATCGCACATTTTCAAAATGTTACATTAAAGGGATAAGTATTGATCAAAGTGGGTTATGTGTTAATAAATTAGATGTATTGGATCAATAAAGAGCTAAAAGATTGCAAAAAATTCAAGGACACATGATAGCCACGATCCATAGTAAGCACTTTAGTTTGCAAAACTTGTTCAGCCCTGCTCCTAATCCTAACCCTAACCTTTGTAAGTTTACGTATAAATTAAGTTACATAAACGTTTACGGAAATACCAGTCTTTTCAAGAAATGTCCAAAATACTAGAGTGTTTGAAACGAGAATAGAAGACCTAGTTTTATAGTTGTTACATTCATGTTTTCATATTATACACCACAAGCGTAGTGGAGCATCAAATGATCATATAATAATGAAAGTGTCACAGTGCTCTCTGCCAGTCGTCTCGAAACCGCTAATTTGCTCGCAAAGTCAAAACAGAGCAACGTTATGACGTTGTGTTTTCTACCGATTCCTCTCATGACGGTTCTCCCAAACCACGTGACCAATGTTTCTCAGAATGATAAAACGTACAGGAATTTACACCATGGCTATGAAATACTTTTTGACTTTGCAAAAACGTGTTAAACCCCGCCCCTAATTCTCACCTTTCGGCCTTTATATAAACACTGAGTTAAATAAAACCATGTTTAAGTAATTGTTGTTTCAAAATATGTCCCAAATAGTAATAGAATCATGATAGCATGATCAGCGTGAGAGTTTCAAAGATAGTTTGAAAAATCAGTTTAAAAAGTTTTTTTTAAAGCAAATATAACACTGAAATTAATACGTAATGATTTAACGCATAGCTAGAGTTCATGTGCTTAGTATCACAGTGCTGTCTGTCCGTTTTGAGCTACTAACTGGCTAAACTGCCCGCAAATCACTTACGTTATAACAGCTATAAACCGTTGTTCCGTCGCTTTCTCTCGAAGTTGAAACAAAACAACAAAAATGCAGCGTGTCAGCTTGGCTAAGGAACCGCAAAGAAGCGTAAACTCGTCTGTCCTGGAGATGTCCGAAAACGTAACGTTACAGCTTTACCTCTGACTGTTACAGAGCGCTGACGCTGGAGACTCCTTCCATCGATGTTAAAAGAACGTCTCCTTACAGAAAACCTCCATATCCACATACACACGTTTTATAAATGTAGAGTGTCTTTTGGACAAGATTCTTTAAACGAGCTGTTACTATAGAAACAATAACGTACTAGCACGCGTGTGTTAATGTAAACCTGCGGCTGCGCTGCTTCCAGAGCTGCTGTTATGTTTGAAGAATAAAATATTGAACGTCACATCCTCGGTCGCATCCATTATTTTCAATGTTGCAGCTTTTTAATGGCCGTCATCTCTCATGTAGCTTCAAATAAACATCCTGGTTTATAAATGTTACATTACATGCGTTGTTCGATGAAAACAAACAAACAAGCAAACAAACAAACAAACAAACAAGCAGACGAGTGCTTACAATTTCTCACTAAATATATTTACATGACATACAGTTCGCCATCAGTGCAATACATAGGAATGTTGCATAATTACCAAATATTAAATTCTTTCCTCTGTAAAGAAAAATAAACGAAAGTGACAGATTGAGACAACGCGCATGTAAACCCACATTTACAACGTTCACATCTGATAACAGGGAAATCTTCACGGAAATAATCCCAAAATCTGCATTTCAGAGTCACTTCATCAACAATCAGACACAGCATCGCCAAAATAAATAAGAATAATAATAATAATAAGTAAATAAATGAACCTAGCACGAGTACGTAGCCTATAATTATCTTCATACAGGTAATGGATTGCTTTTGTACAAATTTTTTATTTTTTTTAATATATAACTTTGGCAGTTATTTTAGAAATGAAAAAAGAAGAGAGAGAGATGATATCGGTGATGTAAATGCTCGAGATTGCC